TGCCTGGCCAGTCGGGTCCGGTCGAGTAACTTTACCGGTACGTTCCATTTCTGAAAGAAATTGAGAATGAGTCATTAGACTCGTATCAAATGTCAATTGACGAATAGGCACTTAAAGACATCCTTTGGCTCAAATCACCGTCATGCCAATTGTTAAGGGTACCATCTTAACAATTAGAGACATTGAAACTCAAGTACCAAAAGTTCTATAAGTACAAAACTTTATGCTCATGGTTTTCAATTTCACTTTCAAAAAGAATTTTGAAGCTTCATTATGATGTTTACGGACTAAGTCTCTGATACCAATTAAATTGTCACGCCCCGGACCTACCCGGACACGTCAACAACCCGCCGTACATTACGAATAGTCAACCGCAGTCCGACTCATCCATACTATACAAGGCGTCTTGAATACCATTCACACATAGTACATCCATAAACAACCATAATGTAAAACGTGCAATTAAAATAGCGGAAGCATTAATACAATTGTTCAAGCCACACTTGGCATCACTAGGCATACAAGCCCCCAAGTAATTATTCAGAAAATAGTATCCATGAGCATTAACGAAATTGTTTTTAAAACAGAACGGAAGAAGCACGAACCACGTCTTCTTCCCTTGAGCCTCCCGAAGCAACGGGCAATGGTAGCAACCTTCAAGTTCTACCTAAAACTGTGAGGTGGCCTCCCCCGTGAAGGGGAGGTCAGTACTTGGAAGTATTTGACAAGTACAATAGCAACTATACTAAGTATAATCAACGTTTTAATTTCCAAGACCCTCAAAATAGGGTGATATCATAATATAAACAATAAATTATATTTCCCACTTATTATCTTTATAATAAGTAAATTCATTTATTTGTCGGCACACGGCCCTTCTTATTTATTCCTTTTCATTTATCATTTGCACAACCCAACCCTTGGGTCTTATTATTTCTACGAGACTTGCTACCGCTGTCCGAGACCTCATGAGGCTCCCGATTCGGACTCCAACATCCCGCCCCTGGACTCATACCCATCATCCCGTAGGAAGGTAAGGCCCTTCGGGGTCCTATCTTATGTGTTACCGCTACCGGAACCTAGTTAGGTCTCCGATTCGGATTCCACCCTAACCTGTGATCACGATGTAAGTCCATGCTATCCAACCCCGCTCTCTAGAGTCGGTAAGGGCCATGGTCCTTACTTATTTCCATAATTCAACCGGCTATCCACAAGGACTACCGAACACACCCGTAGGCCAATCCTATACCTAGGATCAATTTAGTACTTACTTTATCTTGGGTATCCCTTAAGGCCTACCCCTAGTATAACTTAGAGTTCATACTCTCCTACCTTAAAGCATCTCTTAAGACTACTTAAGGCATAACATTTCACAATCCAACCTTAGGATCAATCTTAACAACATTTCATTTTAATGTCCAACTAGTATCTTAATACTAGTAAAATTAATACCAACAAACCAAGTTCTCAACTCATAGTCATATAGACAATTCCAACTGATTTTCCTTTGAAAATATCATTTATCTCAATATTCAAAACATCACTTGTAATCACTCATATATTCTACTATGAAGAAAAAAGTATATTTCAACGTATGTTTCGTAATAAATTCCACTTTCAAGTCAACATACTCATAACACATGATCATACACAATTTACTCTTAAATTTGTATATCATGCTCCTTTTTCTTTAGACATTAGTCTTTTCATTCTTAGGCATTATTAAGCATTAATAATCCATAAAAAACACGTTTAATTACCTTTGGTAATCTCATGAAATTAACTCACTAATTATAAGCAATATAGTTAGCCATCCTCACCTCGAATTAGCTTGAAGAAGCTCTACCCTTCTAGGTTGAACTCCGGCAATACTCCGGTGAACTCCAGCGAAACTCCGACGAGACTCCGGAGAAACTCCGGCGAAAGTTAGGAACACTTTAGTCAAGCTCCTAACAAGGTTTTATCATCACAAAACCCATATCAACACAAATAACCCCTAAAAGGTTATTTTCCGGCGAACCGGTCATTTGGCTTCTAAGTCCATTCTTGGACTTAGAACTACCTTCAACCCCTTGTTCTACACTTTTAAACATGATGAACAATCATAGGGGTCCTCAATATGATATGTAAGTCTTAGGGTAGCTAAGAAGTAGAGAAAAAGTTAGTATAAGGTCATTACCTTGATTCTTTACACTTTTCCTATCTTTTTTCTTCTCCAAACCTCTTTCTTTTTCTTGTTTGAGCTTGAGCTCGAGTTGGCTATGGAAGGTGAGGTTTCAGAGCTCCTTAGCCTTCCTTTCTTCGTGCTGGACGAGTACAATGAGTGGGAGAGGAGGGAGGATGGTACTTTTGTCTTTGGTTGACAAATGGGTGAGGTTAGGGGTCCCTTAGGTGTCAAAATGGTCTCCCCCATCCCTTCAATGGATTTCAGCCACAAATTAACTCAAGCCAGCCTCCAAGATCTGGAAATTTCGTGGGTTGGCCCCCACTTGTGTGGGAGGTCACCCCTCTTTTTTCCAGAAGTGCACAATCGGTCCCGAAAGTTGCATTTTTCGGCCCGTTTTAATCATATTTTATTTTATCGGACCAAATAAAATATATTACACGTTCCTAATAATTATGGGCCTTTAGAATAGATGTACATTCCCCGACATTAATTTAGGAGTCTCTGAAACTCATTTCGGGCTGTTATCCGCTAAATTACCAATACCGGTAATTGGGCCCCATTTGACCAACCGGTCAACTCCATGCCTCCTTATGGTCCAAATAAAATATCCACCACCATATACATATTATCTAGACCAAGATGAATATGATATGTGGTTCAAGAATTATCGGGCGGCCCCCGGTCCCGACGTGGGCCCCACAAGCAATTTACTATTCACGTAAAAGAAATAATAAAAATTTACAATTACGCAAATTCATAAATCATCTTTCAGGGTCTATTACATAATTTACTAAAAGTAAATATGCTTGGGGACGGTGCTACACCATGAAACTTTAGGAGCGAGTGATTGAGCAAAGACTTCAAAGGACTGTGAAGATTTCAGAGAATCAATTCGGTTTTATGCCTGGTCGCTCAACAACTGAGGCCATTCACCTTCTTCGGCAACTTATGGAGAAGTATAGAGATGCCCATAAGGATCTGCATTTGGTATTCATTGACTTAGAAAAGGCATATGATAGGGTAGCTCGAGAAGTTCTTTGGTGGGCCTTAACTAGGAAAGCCAAATCACGCAAGTATATCAGCATCATCATGGATATGTATGAGGATTGTACTATAAGTGTTCGTACTAGTGTAGGGATGATTGAAGAGTTCCCTATTACTATCGGAGTGCACCAAGGATCGGCCTTGAGTCCTTTCTTATTCGCCATAGTCATGGATGAACTTACGAAGTCAATTCAAGACGATATACCGTGGTGCATGATGTTTGCCGACGTTATTGTATTGATTGATGAGACGCAATCAGGTCTTAAAGCAAAGTTGGAAGTATGGCGACAAACATTGGAGAATAAGGGTTTCAAACTAAGTCGGAGCAAGACAGAATACATGGAGTGCAAGTTTGGTGGAGGTAGAAGTAGTGGTAATAGCGGAATTACTCTGGATGGTAAGGAGATACCAGTCAGCGATATGTTCCGTTACTTGGGCTCCATAATTCAGAGGGACGGTGAGTTAGATGGAGATGTATCCCATAGAATCAGAACATGGTGGATGAAGTGGAAGAGTGCGTCAGGATTTCTATGCGACCGAGGTATTCCGACTAGACTGAAGGGTAAATTTTATAGGACAGCAATTAGGCCTGCATTACTGTATGGCGTAGAGTGTTGGGCGGTGAAACAATGTCACATTCATAAGATGAGTGTGGCAGAGATGCGCATGCTGCGTTGGATGTGTGGGCATACTAGGAAGGACCGCGTGAGGAATGAGACAATCAGACAAAGGGTGAAAGTAGCACCTATTGAAGACAAGATGCGGGAGTCGCGCCTATGGTGGTTTGGTCATGTGCGTAGAAGACCGAGTGATGCACCTGTTAGGCGAGTTGAGATGTGTGGAGAATAGGCATGGAAGAGAGGGAGAGGAAGACCCAAACAGACGTGGGTTAGGGGAGTTCGAAGTGATATGCTTCTTCTGGGGTTGGATGAGGGCATGACTTTGGAGAGAACTAAGTGGAGGGCGGGTATTCACGTGAAGGAGTGATCTTGATAATCTTTTTCCCTCATCTTTTTTTCCTAGTTTTTTTTTAATCCTTATATATATAAGCATTATTGGCAGCCTTTTTATTTTATCATTTATATATATATTCATCTTTTTTGTATATTATCTTTTCATAATAGCTTATCTTTGTATCTTTATTCCTTCTTTTCCTTTTGGTTGTGATATCATGTATCGATTCATGTTAGCCGACCCCAATATCTTTTGGGACTAAGGCTTGGATGTTGTTGTTGTTTGTATTTGTTCTCCCAAACAAAATTTGGTTACATTTTTAATCAATTAATTTGTGATTTCTATTACTTCTCTATCTTTTGCATAAACATCAATCACATGTTTTTACTTTGTTATTTTCTATGTCGGTCAAATTTGGTAAAGTTTTGATGGACATAGGAAGTATTACCTCTATGGATCCTTCTCATTGAATATTATTAATTTGAATTATAATTGAAAATAAACATTTCAATCGCTTTTTAAGGAGAAATATATGAGATGCATGCAAGGATCATTACATATGTGTTTATACATTTCTGTTTGCACATATGAGATGCATATATGGAAGTATCATGTTTTACTTTTTTATGTTTTAGAAGCTTAAATGAAATTATAAGTTTATTAGACCAAAAAATCAAACTCTAATTAACCTACATTCCAATAAAGAACTTTTGAGGTGTATGCTATGACACAAAGCAGTCCAGGCCACTTCACCTAATTAAGAATGGTGTTGACTTTTTGGTATAATCTCTTTAATTTATTAAAAGTGGGATGGAATTGGATATATAGGGGGGCAACTTCTAGTGCTTCCACTTTGTGTCTTGTTAGCATCTTTTGCCATCAAAGCATCACATTCAATCACATATATGCTATAACAATCAGCTCTCATTACCATACAGGCAATACAAACAGTCAAATATGCCCCAATATTTCAATAAATTGCCATCTTCTAAAGTCCATGGTCTGTTCTCGTTACAACAAATTACCCTTTTAAAGCTTATTTTCATTCCATGCATGGCTAGTCTATTACCTCAAGGACATGCTGAAGAAGGCATGAACCATACAAAGGAAAACGGACACAAGCTTCTTCAGGTAATGCCTCGCCCCATTACTAGCTTCTTCATCTAAGTTCATTAGTTACTTCACTATATAATATATTCGGAGCCAAGGGAGGTCAGGGTGGTCAGCCCACCCGCTGAAACTTTTATAGTATAGAGTTCTAAAATATCTTCGATTTGATATATTATGGCTCTCGTAACTCATTACGAGTAAAAAGTCATGACTTCTGAACGTAAAATCAGCAAAGTTTGATGCATAATAGGGATTATTTTCACAAATTTTAGAAACAGCGTATAATTAACTCATCACTTACGTGACATGACTCAGAAACAGAGTAAAGACAATTTATCTTATTGATACGAGTGTCTATTTATCTAAACTAAATATAAAGCATTCAACTCAGACATTGTCTAAAAATGATCCACCATCTTCATTTTTGTATATAGTTGATTTTCGACCCTCTTGGGCCGTTTTTCTGGCTCCGTCACCGACTATATACTCTTTCACTCGTTCAATTTTTCTTGATAGATGTTCAAATTAAACACTGCGCATTTTACTTTGGGTTTCTGATAAATTTCGTAGTTTTTAAGGTTTTGAGTACGCAGCTTAGTTGGTTCAAGCATCTAGTCTCTCTTCATACAGTTATAGTAAAATATCAATAAGACATTTGCTAATTAAACTTAGTCCTTTAAAAGCAAAGAAATTAGACTTATATTTTACATGTAGAAAAGTCATTCTTGTTTGTCATTAGTTCTAGCATAGATTTACAAGAAATATGTTCAAGAGAGCATTATTGTTGTTGAAATATCAAGCAACAGTTATAATTCAATACTGAGTTTCAGGTAATAAGTCCACAGCTTCTATTTCAAATAAAAATTCATGGATGTCTCCTATGGGCTTCCCTAGGCTTCTTGATGCCTATTGGTATTTTGGTCATAAGAATGTCTCAGAGAGAGGAATTTGGACGGAAGATGAAGATCACCATGTTCTATGCACATATTGTCCTAGAGGCAAGTACTCTAATCATAATTCGCGGAATCAAGATAATTGTGTGTGATCCAAGAGAGTTGATATTTTTAATATACATTTCCCATTTTATTATGCATGAAAATAGAAGAAAGTATTCACATTTTACAATCATCTCCACTTTAGTCTTTTTCATCATATACAAACAACCTCTATCAGCTGCAATAATTGTCAAATGGTTCACATGGTAAGAGGCAGACCAAGAAACTTCATATGGAAGAGCCAAAAAAATGATTTGTTTTGTTTCGTTGCGGGCTTCATATTTTAATACACTTTCTTCATCCCTAAATTGTGTGGTTTTGTATTTTTATACTTAACAGACTACTTAACAAATGATATAAACCTTTCACAAATTGAATCATAAGATTTGATTTCATAGCAGAGTATGTTCTACAGATTCTTGTTGTCCTCCTTGCAACCGTAGGAGCAGCATTGTCCATGAAAAACTTCAACAACTCCTTTATCAACAGCCACCAGAGAATGGGATTAGCCCTTTACATCGCCGTGTGGCTGCAAACCTTAACCGCGATTCTACGGCCAAACCGGTAAGGCATCTTCATACATTAGAAACTCAAATTAATTAGGAGATATAAATATTGTAACCTTTTAATTCATTCTTTGAGTGTAGGGAAAGGAGAGGAAGGAGTGGCTGGTTTTTTTGTCATTGGTTACTGGGGACTTCAATCTCATTACTGGGAGTTGTGAACACATACACTGGCCTACAAGCCTATCACAAGAGAACATCAAGAAGTATAAACTTTTGGACCTTAATCTTCTTCACTCAGATTTCTCTTGTCATCTTTTTGTATCTATTTCAAGAAAAATGGAACTATATCAAGAAAGCCGGAAAGGTTAAGGGCAGCAATGAAGAAGTACAACCTACATATCAAGAAACACTTTCTGGAGATGAGAAAAGCAAAAATATTACCCTAGCCAGCCACAATGCTTAAAATTACCTCAAAATACCATAGAATTTGTATATTAAATTGAAGTTATGATTACAATTCTTAAATAAATGTCCATGCTTTTATGACATTTGGTGGTAACTGCGCCTTCTGTTTTTGTAAAGGAGATGGTCAGATGGGGTAAATAATAGTGATATTAAAAAACAAACAGAAAAAGTACCATGAAGTCTCTGGTTTCGTAGACCAGCGCCTTATCCATTGGGCCATGAAGTCTGCTTGGTACCAGGTGACATCACCTTGCATTTTGATGTAATGCGCAACTTTTCACAACAAACGCACAACAGGGCAATTCTATTTGGTGCTTTCGTCAAGAGAATATCCAGATTGTTCAGAGTTTTTAATCGCTTAAAATAAGCACAATGACAAAACCAACATTCCATTCCACCAGAGGCAGGGAGTCAGAGACTAATCAAATATCCTCTTCACTTTCAAGTTTGAGTTTTCGCAAGCACAAAAAATAAATAATTACTTTTTACTCGCTAACAAATTCGAATCTTCCGCTACAAAATGAAAGAATCAAGAGCGTTTCACCAGCTTTAAGATTTACAGTGTAATGAGCTAAACCTTACAAGAAGTAAATTCTATTCCGTATCTTTTAAGGGTTCAGCTTTCATTGCCTGAAACTGAAGAACCAAGTTTCAACATCAAAGGATAAACAGGAGAGAACTCCTTATCCCCCCTAATCCGCACCTTTGCAGCATAATCATCCAATGCCGCCTTTATCCCTCTCCAGATCTGATCCTCCCCTTGTGAATCCATCCAAAGAGAATACTGCAAAGGAGACAGCTTGTTCCTTTGCATAGGCGACTGCAGTTCATCCGGGCCCCGCGAGAACAGGTGGTGAAGGATGACACTTGGAGGAAGGTCTTGAATAAGTGGGGACGATTCCAGCTGAGATGTTTCAAGGAAAATGACGGGGCGGAACGCTCGGAGTGCCCTGTAAGGCCCACCGAGCTGTTCAACTGGGAAAAGGTTCTGACCAACCACTAGCTCCAGCTCAGCCATATCTCTCGCCATCCTCAGCTTGCCAGATTCTGATAGCGGTCTGACCAGTGAGGCGTGTCGGATAAAGAATGTCAAAACACGAGATGCTACACTCCTCACTAGCCTGGTGCATATGGTTTCTGTGGATGAGGAGAGGGGATTTGAAGAAGAAGGTGGCAATAGTCTTGACAAGAATTCGGACCGGAAATGGACAATGCTCTTCTGTAACTCCTCCATGTAGGGCGATGCATTGTTGTTGTCCATGCCAAGTGTCCCGAAATTCTGGTCGTGGATTTTTAAGATGGAAGCTTCTAGGCGATCCAACATTGTTTGGAATAAGGATGTGACAGAATCGCCCGCCACACCATAGATTGTACCCAATGCAGGAGAGAGAACATCGGATGCAATGGTTGGAAGTCCAGCCACGAGTGATGACACCCTGGCATGAACTTCTTGGAGGTGCTGACACAGTGCAAAGTTTTTTAGCTGTGCAGAGGTGGCTGGGCCCGTGACTTGGCGTGCTTCAGGTCCTGCGGATATCTGATGCCCAGGAAAATAATATTAAAAAAATAAGGAACACAATGTCTTGTAGGGTTTCACTTTATTCAAAATTAAAGGCTTAAATATGTTTTTCATCCTTCTGAATATAGCATTTATAAGTCCCTGGGAAAATGTGTTTTTAACTTAAATTTTGTTAATCATCATCCCTGTAATTAATGTCATTTGATTATAAGTCCCTCACTGTCAACCTGTGTTTAAAAAAAACTGATGTGCCACGCAGAACAATTCCAGTATTGCTTTTCCCACCATTTTAAAAGATGCTTTTTTTTGCAAAATCTGGAAGTGTGAAAGATGAGTTCTGTTGTAGACTAACTCCATAATACTACGTAGTTTTCAGCGAGTTATAAAATTTTGTAAAATTTGTGTGTATAAAGAAGGCTCAAATATGTTTTGAATCTCTGTTAATATAACATTTTTGTTTTATGTCACTGAAGTTTTTTTGGTGATTCATCAATTTACAAAGTTCTCTTTTGAATCCCTCTTCAACAACCTCAGTTAAAAACATCACATGACTCTACAAAAGGTCATCATTACCACTCTGTTTACACCTTTTCAGCTCTTTGGGAAATGAGAGCTCTGTAAGCCAAGTCAAATTGTTTTTAAATGAAGGTTTAAGAAGAAAGCTAAGAAAACAGTTTAAATTATAGTAATTGTCCTATATAGGACTAAAACTAAACTTAATTTCCTAAATAGGACTACAAGTTTTTAATTCCCTAAATAGGACACCGGATGACCATTATGCCCTCCTATATAATAGCATCAAACCCCTAATTCTAATTCTATCTAGCGTATGCGGCTCTTCTCCTACGTGCGCAGAAGCGGCTCTTCTCTTGCACAGCACCTCTACGTCGAGCCATGGAATTCGCCCCTTTCTCCGACGATTCTACACCGCTTTGACACCACTGCCGCTTCTACCATTGCCGATTCCAGGTTTCTCCTACTCCTTCGTCTTTCCTCTTTATCTTCTTCTTCTTCTCTTCTTCTTTTTCTTCTTCCCTAATCATGACGTTGAATAATATATTTTCCCTTGCTGATTTTACTGTTCTTTGGTAGACTTTTTCTGGTTTCATGAACATTTTTGGAGTTGGACATCGTTTTTTCTGTTTTGTAAACATCGGCTTCAGGTTTCTGATTTATGATGTTAAATTTCCGATTTCGATGAGAATTTGGATTTTTCAGATTTTGAACATCTACTTTACATTTTTGCCAACTTTTTGGCAGTTGCATGTAGTACTCAATATTATATTATGGCAGAAAAACTTTTATTCTGAATATTAATTTTTATTGCCAATCTTTTGGCATAATTGACTAATATACTATGGCAGATTTCGTGGTTTGGATTTCCAATTTCAATGAATTTCTGATTTCATTAAAAACTCTGGTTTTCTCGATTGTGGATGTTGGATTCATTTTTGCCAAATTTCTGGCAGCTTCATATAATATGCTATGGCAGAAAAATATTGTTTTCTTCCACCAACTGCCAAATATATTGATAAGAACTGTCAATATTATGTTTATATTTTTATAAAAGATGGCAGAATTATGTTTTTATGTTAATAATTTTTTTTGCAGCAAAGAGGCATTTTTATAACCTGCAATGGTGGCGCTAGCAGTGGTGTCGAAAGTGACAGCGGCGGCGGCACCGGCAGTGGCGGCAGCGGCGGCTGAAGTGGCAGCGGCGGCGGCGGAACCTGGAAGTGGCAGCGCCGGAAGCGGTGGCAGCATTTGGAGTGGTGGAGGCGGCTGTTGAACTTAGGGTTTTAGATAGCTTTTTAATTTTTTATTTATAATTGTAAATAGATTTTAAAATTCATTAAGGGTAATTTTGTAAAGTCAATACATTTTTAGTCCTATGAAACATGGAAGTCCTATTTGTGCATTTCTTTGGTGTTTTAGTCCTATTTAGGGAATTAACTCTTTAAATTACAGGATGAATAACAAAAAAAAAATGAAGGGATCTGAAACAAAGTTACAAACATGCAATATTTGTAGGAACAAAGAATATAGAAGCCATGAAATAATAATGAGCAATTAAGAATCTGTTTGGCTGGGTGAGAAGTTTAAAAAATTATACCTGATATTCTGCTCTTTCAGATAGCAGAAGTAGAGCTTTGTTAATCTCACGCAAGACGAGAAGAGTCAGCCGAGCATCCATCTGTACGGATTCGATCTCCTCCTGAATTCGTGATATGATCCTGTAGATATTTTCCTTTGACGGAATGCTTCCCCGACTAGACATGGAGAACACAGAATTAACAAGATCAGAGAGGCGGCTCAAGCAGAGTGCCAAGAAGGCAGTCTGAAATGGCTCAATGGCAGAAATCATTTGATCTTTAGCTTCAGAAGTAAGAGCTGGAGGAACTCCTTTCACATCCGTGTCACGTGAAATTCTTTCGAGTAGGTTCTCTATCATAGACAAGAGCTTCGGGTACCCAACTGTGAAGGTTTCTTTCACAAAACTGGAAGCAGTGAAAGTGGATTTCATCTGGCTTGCAAAAGATTTCACAAGTGCCTCCCAAATACGCACTGTTAGCATAGGATCATCATCCTGATTATGTATGAAGATAACATATGTTACCAAGAAAAGTAAACAAGTCCAACAGAAGATAAATACTTTTCAAAAGAAGGAAGTATTATTGTGTTTCTTACACCCTAGTGACCCTACTCCCACTCTCACCCTCCTTTAATATTCTAAACAAATATAGCTTAATTATAGTTTATTATAGTTTAAAAGTTTAAAACAAGCAATAAATTCGAAACAATCGTAATCAAACAGAGCCTGAAATATCATGGTGTCCTGACTCAGCATAATCAGCAGATCACATGTTACACATTTTTTCATTTTGAAAGAGAGAAGTACAACAAAGGTAGGAATTGCACAGTGAAGTAGTTCAATCAACTTTGAGGTCAAGGGATATCACAAGGTTTATGACATGTCCACATAACGCCAAAAAAAGAGTAAATGCTACTACCTCCATCCCAAAACTGTATTCCCAGTTCAATTGGCACACTTACATAGAAAGTGAAATTGTATCGTTGTGCTTGATTTAAAAAGAAGAAAATGAGAAGAAAAGTTTAGAACATCTCAAAAAGAAAATTGCAAAGAAAGTTCTGGGACTGAGGGAGACTCACTAGTCACTCCTCATGGAGCTCTACATGTAGGTTGGTTGACAATCTTAGATTTTGAATTAACAGGGGATTAACAGAACATTTTTATTGAATTAACAAAATTTGTTTCACATTTTTCTTGTAACAAGTTTCAAGAAAAATGTGAAACAATTTCTACAAAAACCTTAAATGCATTATTTAAATGAGAGCTACAACTCTACAAGAACTCCATTCTGACTTGTACCAAACCTTTAACCGTATAAACCACAGTATAAGGCCGTCTTTGAAGAGCAAGCTCACTATCTAAGCAATTGGCCAATGCATCCTTCTCCCATAATGGTTGAAGTAATTCAACCAAACCATTGGCTACATCATGCTTTAACGGTGTTGATTATTGACTGGTGGTTGTGTGTGTTTTGCTCACTACTATACTTAAATTGAAAAATGTATCAGTGTTTTCAACCACAAGTGGAATTTTTCGGATCCAACAGAATGGTGCAGAATTGTAATGATATGAAATGAAAATTTTCAGTAAAAACTTCACCATTGCTAATGAACCCATAGCAATGGAAACAGAAAAAGATAATCTAATTGAAGCATACGCACTACTTTATGCATACAACTTTTAATAGTTGGCTTGACTTGCTTAAAAGAAAATACGGGTCACCACCTAGCAATTATGAATAACAAATTTAAGGCCACATATCCACAGAACATTCACCCGAACATAGTGACACTGTAAACACATATTTAGGTAAAAAAGAAAGAAATGGTCACAAATAATCTTTTAAGGAATTGATCTCATTGGACACAAGAACAAACGTGCAGCCACACAACCAAATTAAGGACGTTTTTACTCAAAACACATAGCATCATTAGTATACACACAAATGAAAACTCTCTTTCAAGAGCAGACATAAATTTACCCAAAGTCTTACTTAAAGAATAAGTAAAATTTGATTGCATCTCTTTGGCTTTCTAGAGATGAGCCGAACAGAATCGAGAAAATTGAGAAGAAATAAGAAGAAGTTTCAGTTCTCACTGACCTGCATGACCTCCTCAAGAAGCAAAACATGAGTGAACGGATCTCTTTTCTTGGACAACACCCTTTGTAAATGCCAAACTGCAACAACAATGGAATGCAACTGATCCATACAAGAACTCATCCTTTGCCACAGAGCTTCCTTAGCCTTGGCGCTTCCCCCAAGCTGGGGGGTGCCACTCCTCTGCACACCCCCTGGCCCATACCCCCCACCTGCAGATACTGCCTTCATATCCAATGATGTGTTTATACTCTTCACACCCAACCCCTTGTACTTGCTCACCAGTCCATCCACAGTCCCTCTCAGTTCCCTCATGTTGTAAAAAACTTGCAGGCCAGCCCCTACATCTGCCTGGTTCAGATCTTCTAGACCTTTCTCCAACACACGCATTCCTTCACCCCTTAATTTCTGCCCAATTTCAGTTACCCATTTCAATTCCGAATCCACTACTTCGATCCCAGATAAATGACGCTCGTTATGGAGTGACAGTATATCGAAATGAAGCTGGGCAGCTTTCGATATATCGAGCTTTTCCTGGTCTTGTGTGGAATCCATGAGATCGCGAAGCTTTTTCGAAAGACGGAGGAAGCGAATTGTAGACTGGAGAAGCTCAGTGGTTGAGTGGAGGTTTGAGAGCTGGAGAGTTTTGGTGGCAATAACGCGATGTGGATCGGAGAGCTCAGACCGCACTCGTTGTACAGAAGACTGGAGGGAGGAGACGGAGGATCGCAGGGTGGAGAGAGCGGAGTCCGTGGCGCGTATAGAAGAGAGCTGGTTAAGGAGATCCTCGTGACGGGAGAGAACTTCATGACGTAGCTGAAAGTCGAGGAGACGCAGGCCTTCCTGGAGCTTCTCAATGCGGGATGCGGCTGATCCGGACGAGAGAGCGGCAGAGGAGAAGCGGGCCGAATCAAAATCAGGCGATAGGAATGCGGAGAAGATTTGGTCGGATGCGAACGAGTCAAGAGGTGATGCAGGTGAAGGGGAGAGTAACGCCGGAGTGGCTGCGGTGGTTGGAGTGGGAGTTATGACGGCGGCAGACGGAGTCGTTGCATTCAGTGATCTATCCTTGAGATTGGAGAGGCGTTGGAGAGGAGAAGAAGCGGTGGGTGATGCGGCGGTTGAATACGGGGATCTCTGAATCGCCGGGGAAGCCATTGATTCACGGCGGAGAGCTCGTTTGAGCTATTATGATTAGTCTTCCCTTCCGGGCAACAGAAAACAAAACCGGGAAGTGAAATAAAATAATCCTTTTTTCTCATTAGGCCCCTCTCAGGTGGGGCTAAAGTTGATTACCAAAGAATACGGTGGGCAATTTCATAAAATAACATAAAATAAAAGATGCACGTGGCAGCCTGTCGCGATTCAACAGCCCGGAAAACCGGAGCAGATCTCATCTACAGGTTCAAATCGGATTCCGAGCCCGAATCGCAAAACGGGCCCTAAACCACTCTCGTTCAACGAGGTTCCGAAGCTGGTCTCTCTGCTTCTCTCCGATCGTGCTGATACATTAGGTAATTCTCCATCATCGTCGTCATTACACGAGTGTGGCTCCCACCTATGGTGGTGTAAGGTGTTCGGATATACGTTGTTTTTACCCCTATACAGACTTTTTCCTGTTTCCGAATGAGGCATGGTGAAAATCGCGCCGAACTGTTTCTTCATAATCGGGCCGAACAGTTTAGTGATTCATTTTGCTTTATTACATACTCCCTCCGTCCCAATTTACTTAGCCATCTTTGACTTTTACAGTCAAATGTGTTTAACTTTGACCAATTATTTAAAGTAATATATTTATGCAAAATTTAATAATTTTATGCTTTTATGATAATATTTTTAACAAAGAACATTTTCATATCATTTTCATATTATTAATATTTTCTCTATATAAACATATAATCGGTCAAAGTTAGACTCTATTGACTTGAAAAGTCAATATTGACTAAGTAAAATGGGACAGAGGGAGTAGTATTCTCAAGCCAAAAAATAATTAATCTTTGGCTCATTTCTCCTTCTCTATCTCACAAATCCCATGCCTCATCAGGCATAATAAGTGCATAATTAGCATAGTAATTAATGTAATCAGATCAAAATTAGGCAATATGAAGTGATTGACATTCGCTTTACAGGTGTTTCCACAAGTGCTATAGAAAGTATGCTATGAGAATGGTGTTGTGAGATTGCCACACAGAAAGGTATGCCATAGATCACTTATGTGGTTTTCAAAAAGACCAAAACTTGTTAAACCTATCCCCAATCTTCTTGCAGAATGCCATTTTTCTCAACTTTTTCAGTTTTTTGTTGTTGTGACTTGTGAGGTTTCAGTTTCTTTCTGGGAAGAGTATTAATGAAATAAAAGAAAAGTGTTGTCAAGGAAAAACAGGTTGAGTTGCCCAAAGAAGCTGCTGGAAAAAGACTAAACTCTTCTCTGAAAAAAAGTCTACCATGCCCTCCTCAGTCATGTAAGTGAATGGGGATTGTCACTCATAAATTTTAGGTGGAAACACTTCAATCTCATGCACTTGTAGATGCCAGTTCATATAACATCTTCCTAGCTAAGAATTGTGTCACTCCTGTACAATATATATGTATACAGCTTCCATAGCTAGGTATATTGTATGTTCTGGCGATTCTAATTAATAACATTCTATTGCATACTTTCCTTCTAAGTCTCCTGTCTAAGTCATGTGAGCATTCCCAATCTCTGTTTTTCAATCTAAATTTTCCTATGCAAACCTCAATTGTAGAATCTCCCCGGTGCAAAACAAAGATGGTGGCAATGCACATGAAGTCCCAAAGTCAGCGGTTGTTTCTCGGCAACAAGGAACCAAGAGTGCTCAAACTTTAAACTTGCCAAAAGCAGTTACTACATCAGAAGGGGGTTCAGATGAATTTAAGTATGGGTTTCCATCAGATGGTGGCTTGTCGGTTCTCTCTTATAGATGGTGGGGGAGCAGAAGTTATGATGCTAATGAAGATGACATTACAAAAGAAGAAGATCTTTCTGAAGAAAGAAAGCGGCAATTAGTAGAGCCCATGGACAAATCTGAGCAAGAGATAAATACAACTCATAAAAGAAAACCACATTTAGTGGGAGCTGGTTTACTGTCGGAGTTGAGAGAAGCAGCTGCCAAAGAAGGGAAAGAAGCTTTGAGGATCGGAGTCTATCGGGGGACGGCATGGTCTATTCAAACTAGATTTGACCAAAAGAATGGTGCTTCTTCAAGCATTTAAATCTTCATAGCCTGAATCTTTCTGTTCCTTGCTTCACATGATGAAGGGACCGGAATGTTTTGTTCTCAAGACAGGAAATATAAACATGGTTATAGCCTAATTTTCAGGATGCCTAGAAGTGATGTCCTATATCCACGATGCCTAAGAATTATTTCATGTACTGCGTATTTTCCTTAAAGGATCACTTAAGTGTTAATTTTTGTATTGCCCAAGTAGAACTCTCATGACTGTAAATAAGGGAGAAGTGGAAAACACACTTTCATCAGATTTTTTGCCCTTAATGTTTGTTAATGTTGCAGTGGAAGCAGATATTTTTATATTTTTTAATGTTCACGCTTCAGAAATCTTTTCTATGGAGGAGATTATAAGTTGGATTAATCAGAACATAAACTCATTAAGCTCTAATAATAAAATCACATTTCATCCAATGACACGTTTGGGAAAAATGATGCATTTAGCAGATTTCTGCATAGATTGGTTAATAAAAAAGCACAAAAGGGAACAACCCAGCACCCGTAGCAATTTCACATGCCTTTGTATGTACTCCGTATCTGAAATTTTAGCTTCCTTAGTAATGTGCATAAGAATCATCTGAAGTGCAAGTTTAATCTAAAGTGTCAAACTAACCTGCGTACCACTTGGAAAGTAGGAAACCTAACGTGATTGCAAATTTATTTTACCTGGCCTTAGATTGGTAATTGGAATTCTGTATTATTAATAAATGGTTGTTTGGTGTATTAACAGGGTAATATGTCATGTGGGCATATGCAATGGTTTGATCCCACGCTTCCATCTTCCGTCCCTACACAGCCTTCGGCCGCAAGAGGCCAAGCATCATCTTCCCTACGCTTAATCTCGCCAAGCAAAGAAGAAAAAAGCCGCAAAATTGATGGCGGAAGAAGAAATCATGTACGCTTAAGCCTGTCTGCGGCAGCCGCTCCTCGTTACAAACAATAGCAGAGGAAAAAACCTAGCGGTGGAAACCTACCCTAGAGAGAGAAAGAAATGCACAACTACTGATTATTTTCTTAAAAAGGAAAGGAATATGAAGTTTAATGGAAATCTTTCTCCTGCCTTCTATTCCACCGAACGTGTATAAATACATGTACAAGGAGTATTGACTAGTTAATTGAGCCATTGGCCCATATGTACAATAACTAAGTACACAATAAATACAATACAATTATAATTGGCCCACATAGGATTTAATACCCCCTAAAGTTGGAGCATGAGGATCAAACATGCCCAACTTGCGTAGAAGATGTCCAAATTGTTGTTTGCCGAGAGCTTTCGTAAAAATATTGGCCAGCTGGTCGTGAGTAGGCACATGATGAGCCAAAAACAGACCCTTATGTATTGCATCACGAACATAATGATAATCCACTTTGATGTGTTTAGTGCGTTCGTGAAACATCGGATTATGAGCTATATGAAGTGCGGAGCGACTATCACAGTATAACGACATAGGACGCGGATGAGTGATTCCAAGATTAAGAAGAAGACCCTTCAGCCACTTTAATTCCGCAGTAACGGCTGCCATGGACCGATACTCAGCTTCGGAGGAGGAACGAGAGACAGTGTGTTGTTTCTTGGTCTTTCAGGAGACAGGGGAACCACCAAGAAACACCAACCAACCAGAAATAGAGCGTCTAGTAAGCGGACAGCTAGCCCAATACGAGTCACACCAACCTGTAAAAGTCAAATCACAAGAGGATCACAGAAGAATCCCCTGACCCAAGGAGCCTTAGAGGTAGCGAACAACACGAAGAGCTGCATGTCAGTGTTCCTACCGCGGGGCCTGCATAAACTGAGATAAAATATGGACTGCATATGCCAAATTTGGGCGAGTGAAGGACAAATAAATAAGATTCTGGATCGGCCAAAAGAGCACCCGTAGCAAGTCCCAATGAATGATTATGCTCCATGGGAAACGATGAAGGTTTTGCTCCAAGAAGAACTGCTTCAGAGATAATATCCAATATATATTTGCGTTGACAAAGAAATATGCCAACAGTGCTCCTAGCGACCTCGATGCCAAGAAAATACTTGAGAACACCTATATCTTTCATGTGAAAACAAGTATACAAATAAGTCTTGAAGCGGGACAAAGCAGCAGAATTACTACCCGTGAATATTAAATCATCCACATAAATAAGTACATATAATTGAACATCATCCTTGCGCAAAGAGAACAAGGAATAATCAGAATAAGATTGGAGAAAACCATATTGTTTAAGAGAGGCAGCCAGCTTAGCGAACCAACATCGCGGAGCCTGGCTAAGCCATATAGGGATTTTCTTAGGTGACACACAAAGCCTGGTCGTGACGATGAGAACCCAGGTGGGGGCCGCATGTAGACTTCTTCGGCCAAATCTCCATGAAGGAATGTGTTGTGTACTTCCATTTGACGCAATTCCCAATTCTGGACAGCAACCACACCTAAAAGAAGACGCACCGTGACCATTTTGGCCACGGGAGCAAATGTCTCAGTGTAATCGATGCCAGCCTCCTGGTGATTCCCAAAAATGACCAGACGTGCTTTCAGGCCCTCAACGATCTCGTCAGAAATTTGATTTTATAAACCCATTTACAGCCGAGAGCCTTTTTTCCAATAGGCAATGGCTCCATATCCCACGTATGATTATTTTCAAGAGCCTGTATTTTAGTCTGCATAACGGAGCGCCATCCAGAGTCGCCCATAGCTTCTCTAAATGAATGGGGTTCATGACCTGCAAGAATAGTTCCAAGAAACATGCGGTGATGAGTATAATACTTATCACATGACACATAATGAGTAATAGGATACCGCGTACCTGAAGAGCTGTCGGAGGGTGTTGACGGAGATGGGCTTAAGTTTTGGACGTGATGAGCAACATAGTCACGTAATAAGACTGACGGTCGTTTAGACCGCATACCACGGCCAAGGATAGAACTGTCAGGGGCAGTAACGTCCTGAGGAGTACCGTCCCATGAGTC